TGGCTGAAGATTACCGTATTAGGATGAAACAACCATCCAGTGCTGCCAGATTGCTAATCATAGTCTAACAATAATGTCTATAAATCTATAATGATGAAAGTGTAAAATAACTTGAAGAATTTTATTAAAAATTTAATGTAAATAGGAAAGAATTGATTATATGAGTTTTAAATTATAGAAGACAATTAATTAAAATACTACTTATAAGTATAAATAATTTGACTGAACTTATTTTCAGAATAATACTTAAAGCACTGGTCAAAAGTGATCTTTAAATTCAGCGATTATTATATCGAAATTCCACAAAGAATGAAAATGTTCAAAACCATTGAAAAGGATCTAAAAATTGAAGAATCACGGTTAATTGTAGTAATGCTTGTACAGTTAGTTAAACTATATAAGGAACTCTAGAACTGATTGAAAAGAGCGGAGAGGTGATCAATATATAAGTTAGCAAATGAAATATGAAGGTAAGCCTCACAAAAACTGGTATATGTTGATCCTTCACAAATCTATAGTTAGGGTAATAGAGATGTTGTAACACAGTACCTCGAGATGTTATCAAACATGATTTTAATCAATCCACGGTATTATGCACCCTCATCCATTATCTCCTGTGGATCACTGACTCACACTCAACAGTGCCCGGAATTTAAGTGTTCATGCGCGAGACGGAAGGTCTTGAGCCCGATTCCAGAGTGAGGTGAACGTCACTGCGCACTGGGGTTGAGTCCCCTTGGGCTGTCCAGTACTTTCAGGTTTCTAATCTTGGCCTAACATTGATCGATTCATGAGTTTAATAGATTATCACATCAAAAAAAATGTTCAAATATACCGTTTATCATTGAATAAAATAGTTTTAAACAACACCAAAGTCATAGGCTTAATACTTACACTAAGTACAAATAGTGTTGAATGATCTTATCTCTCTCTCTCTCTAGAATTTGATCACTGAACCTTTTTTTGTTATCATGATAAATGACCTTATTTGTTTAAATATTTATTTGGTTTTATTGAAAATAAATTCTAAAATAAATTGGAATTCAGTTGATAAAGTTTTTTAATTATTTATTGAGCTATTACAACCAGTTAGTTAGTTAGTTTTAATTTATAATACTTGAAAAAAATAAATTGATGGACAGTTATGTTCATTGATCAATATTAAAATGTTGATATTTCGTAATTTTGATTTTTGTTAGTATGACGTGGTAAAGATGAGTGAGTTTTACTTTCAAACCATACAATCAATCCATGTTATATCATCATTAGAAATCTATGGAAGCACTGGATAACCATTTCGTCCTTGAAAGTAAGACAAGTGATCCATTGACACGATAAACTATTCTGATTCGATTGTCCCCGGCTTTGCTAACGTTAACAAAAGTCTTGTTATGGCGTAGAAAGTGTATTATAGAAGCATCCAGAAAATATGAGGTTGATAAGCAAACAAATCGAGTTTATTCATACATGTTGGAAACGTCCTTGTGAGGGCCACAAAAATAACATACTGGAATAATACATCAACCAATAGCGGCCAAAGATTTTCCAAATGGGACATGTAATCTCAAGGTCAACTGATTAGCCTGTGCTCTAAAATAAAAAAATTTCAATATTACTAGCTTTATCAAGTGAGTTCTGGGGATGTAACGTCAACCCAATCACGGCAATTTGAGTCAATCATCACAATGAAATGGAATCGATTCACGTCACTAGTGTACTGATAGTAGTAAGAAAAATAAAATCCGATAACAAAAGTTTTTATCAATAGTAGGTCAAACGTGAATATAACTAGACTTCAAATAATCATTACAAAACATTAAAACCATTACGTAAAAAGAAGTGTGTACACAAATTAGATAGTGAAGAATATAATAAACGGAAAGAGGCTGAGAATTACCAACAAATACAGGATGTGAATATGATGCTGATAATAACAATAATAAAATTTAAACCAAAAAAGAAAAAACTTTTAAATCTTAAATCGTTTTTTACGTCATATAAGGCCATGGATGAGATAGTGGTGTCAGGACATTCTTCTGAACACATAAATTGGGGTTGAATGTACGAATTCTATCTATCGAAGTACTGGATAGTCATTTCGTCCAAGCTTGTGACTCATCAATCACAGTGCACATCCACGATCAAATCAAATCTCAAACTCTATGGAATACAAAATAATATAGTTTTTCATAGGAGGCCTAACATTTTTAAATGATCCATGCATATCTCAATACTTCATGTTTGGTTTCAGTCAATCAATATTGTAGTGTAGTGAGCTTGTTTGATTAAAGATTGTTGGATGAACATCATAAGTTATCAATTTACTGAGATTGAATGTTGCGAATTGTTTCTAGAGTTCATTCGATGATCAATGTGCTTACAACTAGTGATTAGATTGAACTCAAATACTTATACATGATTGACAATAAATTTTTCTAAATGAAAGCAAGTTTCTTAATGTTTATTGGTGGTTTGTAATTTTGATTTCTTCACAAGAAAGGTTTTCAATACTTATTGTAAAGATGAGTGAGTTTCGTTTTAAATCATAAAATCGATCCATGTTAAATCATCATTAGAAACCTATGGAAGCACTGGATAGCCGTTTCATCCTGTTTTGTGACTCATCAGTGGCAGTGCTCATCCACGATCAACTCAAACGTCAAAATCGATGGAAATCGATGGAATTTCCGCTAGAGATTTTTCAGTGATCAATGTAGTTCTAAATGAAGTTTCGTGACTGTATCAACTAGATAATAAGTAAACTTTCATTATTACATGATCAATGTATGAAAATTATTCAATAACATTGAACAAGATTGTAGTTATCGCAAACTAGAAGAATAGCTACTCGAAGTAATTTGAAAACTACAACGCTAACTGAGGTTGCTAGGCAACCAGATATATATATATGTGTTTTCTTATGATTCCTACATCATTCACAGTAGGTGTTTTTATGAGTACAATTTTATTTTTCTGAATTTATAGTCTAGAAAATATGTGAAGAAGTCACTTTTTACTAAGTTTTAAAATTAGTTAATTTTATAAATTATACTCGGTTGTAAACGATTTGTCAAATATTGCCGAGAATAACTTCGACAATAGGTCACCATTATGAAATGAAGTCAGCTAGAGAACAATTGAAGTTAAGAAGGCGTTTCTCACTCTTCAAATATTGATCATTCACAATACTATCAGCTCACAACTTAGAGTTTGAAAGTTTAGTGATGATTATCAACCATTTATAGTCTACATTTTAAAAATCAATAACTAACCCTGAACTATCAGCAGAGATGGATGGCGTATAACATTGAAATGCGGGACGTGAATTTCGTCCTATTTTGGGACTCGTTAGCTGGATGTATCACTTCGGGACTCAAACCCTCTTCAGACAGCTACTGACCTGATGGATGTGTCAGTTCATGTTGTTCTATCAGTGTTTAACAACATTCTATACCTATTTTCAGGCAGAGCTTTGAAGGTTTGTGTTTTTACACATTTGAAATCATCAATCAATGATTGTTAGACCACTATTAGAAACTTGGAAGCACTGAAAGACGGCCGTTTCGTCCTGGTATGGGACTCATCAGTGGCAGTGCGCATCCACGACTCCCGCACCTCACAGGATTTGAACCCGGGACCTTCGGTTTTGTGAGCGAACGCCTAACCTACTCATTTCTCTTTAACAGATAGATTCTAGTTTTAAAATCAGCTTGAACATATCAAAAGTAATTTAAAACAAAATCCGTTGATTGAAAATACTATAATTTTCAAAGTTGAATAAATCGAGAAACACCAGAAAACTGTTTAGTATTCGTATGGAACTTTTACAGTAACTCACATCCATAAAAAAAATAAAACTTCTCAAGAGATTCCTAATGTATATGCATGAGTGGTTTATCCATTAGTAATGAAGATCATTTAGTTTATCGTTGTCAATATTCAAGGCTGTATCATGAGAGGAGTTTCACCTTTAAACAAAGTTAGTCGGTGGTTAGCAGTCAAATCTAAGAGACAAGTTGATCCCAGCTCCCGAAATATCTGTTAAGATTTCAGGCAACAGGTAATATGTTCCAGTTTCGACACTGGGCTCTAGGTACTAACAGCTGACAAAGTTGAAAAAAGACGAAGGTCCCGGGTTCGAATCCTGTGAGGTGTAGGAGTCGTGGATGCGCACTGCTGATGAGTCCCATACCAGGACGAAACGGTCATCCAGTGCTTCCAGGTTTCTAATGGTAGTCTAACAATGACTGATTGATGATTTCAAATGTGTAAAAAAACACAAACCCCCAACACTCTGCTCGAAAATATCGTAACGGTGCTCATTATTGACTAGCTTCGTGAGGAAATTCTCGGAGTTCTAGTTGAGAAGACGTGAACAATGGAGTTCAACACTGTCGGGTGTAGGCAGTAACTACCAAAAGACAAATGAGTGAGGTCGCACAAACTCCGTAGATCAATCAGAGTTAGACATTATCACCGTCGGATACCGGCCCAGTGGTCCGATAGTTAACCATTCGCGCACAATAACGAAGGTCGTGAGTTCGAATCCTACGAGATGCAAAAGTCGTGGATGCGCACTGCTGATGAGTCCCATACCAGGACGAAACGGCTGTCTTTCAGTGCTTCCAGGTTTCGAATGCTGGTCTAACAATGATTGACTAATGATTACAAATGTGTAAAAATGCAGTGAAATTACGAAATACAGTGAAATTTATTGCTTCCTTTTATTACAGAAAAAACAACACTCACAAATTATTACTAAACAATACTTCATTCCATTTCATCCCTTTCTTAAAACTCTTATCGAATCATTCATTACAAAAAAAAAGAAATGTTTCTAGTTGTACATAACCAAATAATTTAGACATTGAACAACATTGATCAACATTTTTTTGTGTCTGTTCGTTTAAATAAACCAATCAAATCAAAATTGTTCATTTTAGTGAATTAACCAATGAACCAATTAAATTAAAAACACAGTTATTCTCTTCATCAAAAAAAACAAACATTTATAATTTCTGTAGGCAATCAGAAAATGAACAATTCAACGTGTTTCAACACCACAACTTGATGTTGTACACATTGAAACAAATAGTTTATTGACAATTGAACAAAAGGAATATTATGTATTGATACTTTGAGGTAAAAACACAAACAATTGATTCAATCTATTCGTAATTTCAAGTGGATCGGTGTAATCTTTTATTTTTAATTATATAAGTGGATTATTATTATTACAGAAATTTTTATTTGAAATTCCATTTGAAAATGAAAGCAGACTAATATCGTCGATTAAAACAATCAAACAATGTATTTAAATAATAAATTTTTACAATTTTTCATTATTATTCATCTTGTAAATTTTATTCATGGACAAAATCAGTTACATACATCACGTCCTCGACGTGTATTACCCGCGGATTCGTATACAATATTAGGACAAGCTGGTTTTCGACGTCTTGGCCAATGTAACATCACTTATGCATGGTTAACCTCACCGCCAACATCAAGTTTAGACGCGTATGGACATGCTTCGGCTTGTACAAGATTACAATTGCTGGATGGACAAATTATACCCACATCATCTTATGATCAGAATGTAATCACTGGCAATGAACAGAATGATGTGAATCAAGCTGAACAAGCATTAAATCATGTCAATAAAGAATGGTCAGCTAGTTTAATTGATTTGGAACGTTTAGATTTATTGATTCGTGCTGAAGTGATCGGTTTGAGTCAGACAAAACAATTAGCCAATGATGCAAGATATTTTTTTCTAGCTGATCGTGTTGGTGATTTAAATTTAATGGCTGTTCTACGTCCAGATAAACAATTGAAACTTGAATTAATCAATCCATTAGCAACGGAACATTTAGTATTGACACCACAACATGTCCTATGCTTGCGTAAACAATGTCCTACCGCCACAAATGATGCATCCAGTATGAATCAACTTAAACAACAAGAAAATACAAGTCTACTCAATGGCATATCATCGACATCGTTGGCGTTAACTAAAGCTGAACGACACAACCGTGAATTATATATGCAGCTGATTATATCACGTGTTGCATGTGCATTGATTGGTTTTATGTGTGTTGTCTTCGCCATGACTTCACTTACCCTGTGTATACGTCTTCGACAGCATCCACTTTATTCTAGTAGAAAACATCGTGACAAAACATCTCAAGGTAGTATTTGTAAAGAAACACACACGATACCGACAACATTTTGTCAAATGAATGGTAAATTAAATATAAATCCAATATCATATATGACGGATCAATCACCCAGGCATCATTATGGTATAGCACAGATACCAAGTGAAACAACTAGTCTAAATAATATTCTAATGACAACTAGTAATCTCCCCACATATGATCCACATATGACCCTGCAAAATATGCCAATTACTTATTCGTCGTTAAGTGGTGGAACACAATATAGTCAGCTGTCAAATTATCCAATGACATCCGGTGCAATTACCTCAGCGTATACGGATACATCTGGTGGTTTGATAACCATATACCCTTTACCATCGCATGGATCAATTCATTCAACACAACATGGTTTATTGGTACAATGTCAACAAAATGGTCAAATTAGTCCAGCGCCATCGAATGATTCCGATGGGAAAAATGATCTTTTACGTAATTGGGGTTCATTAGGTCGACATACACGGCATAGTATGTGTTATGGGGATAGTAATAATAATAATAATAATAATCATAATAATAACAGTATTAAGAGTAATAATAGTACACATAAGAAATTATTATATCCAATTAGGAAATTATCACATCAAAATTCATCACCAATGATAAAACAACCTATGGAACTTTCAACACCATTGTCAAATAATCGTCCAATTCCTTTAGCTCAACAACAACAACAACAACAGCATCAATTGCTTCCGTCTGTTAACAAACTTCAACATAACAATTCATTTGGTAAACCAGAAGATTTAATCTCTTTTCAATATGTACAACCACAACCACAGCAACAACAACAACGTTATCCCCTTCCTCCTGCACCTTCAACAGACATGAAAACTAATATTCCTGCTATAGACGACACTGAAGAATTGAATGCTGACATGTTAAAAGTAACCAGTTTTAATCATGTCAATGAACCACCATCTCTTACTGTAATACGTAAACCAGCTCATGTGAATTAGGAATAAGAAAAATATTTTTTAAATTTGTGCATAAAATTTTTGCAGTGCCTTTCAAAATAAACCAAAAGAAATAGAAACATGTAAATTTCCAAAAACAATAAAAAATAAAAAGATTTATTAATTTAAAAAAATGATATGTATCATTGAACATTGATGAATGTTGCGCGCGTTATTCAATTTCTTATTGAACGCATACATTGATACCCCTTTGATAATATACATACAATACGCGATATCTTCTAAATCAATAAATATTTGTAAATTCTACACAGACAGCCTTACAAAGTGGAATATATATATATATATATATATATATATATATATATATATATATACCAAAAATAATATGGTAAGTAAGCCATAATTATTAATATATATAGACATTTATTTATATAAATATCACTGTGTATCTATGTAATTATTTGTCTATGAACTATGGTGATTTAAACAACAAAAATGAAAACACTATCTTAATTGAACATTGTACATCATATTAGACCGGTTGTTTTTGTTTTATTCTTTTCAATTAATGAATGAATGATCTTTCAAATATTGCATTTTTTTTCTGGCTTACTTTTTTTGTTTTGTGTGTTTCTCTGAAAAAAAAACAATTATTTATACCTTTTCTCTCTCTCTCTATCTATAAAAATAATAAAAACTGGTTTATGTTTTCCTTTCTGTTCAACATTTCAAGTGATATTTAACAAGTTAAAACAAAAATAAATATATATATATTACTCACTTTTGAAATTCATTTTCACTCTTTCACAGATGATCCTCCTTTGTTTTTTTGTAAACTGTCATCATGATTTTTCTTTTCTGTTGAAGAAATTTTTATTTCATCCTTGTAAACAAACACCAGTCATCTTTGATGATGTAATATGAAGAATAAAATCAATGTAAACTATTAGTTTATTGACTTGCTTTAATTTCATCTGTTGCCCCCACCCCCAGTGGAGAAGCATAGGTCGCCGACAGTCATTCTCCATCCTACTGTGTTCTGGGACTTTTCTTTCTAGGTTCTATCCAATTATTGTTCATTCTTCTCATGTCTGCGTCTATCCTTTTCTTGGTGTAATGTGTTTCTTGGTCTCCCTCTTTTCTGTAGGCCTTGAGGATTTCAATTTGGGGCTTGACTTGTCATGCAGTCAATGTCCGTCAGTTAGTTAGTTGCAACGTAGAACTTCGTACGTACGCATATAAGTTCAGGTTGCCATAACACATCAGTACACAGACGCAATTTTCAATTCAAATCCCATGGTGGTAGAAATAGTAGGAGTAATAGCTGTAATCAAGTACATTAGGGTTCGAAGATATTATTCAAGAAGTATAACTGAGTGATAGAGAAAGCCAGAGGTGTTGAAGAATTCAGAAGATTAAAATTTCATGGAGCCTAACGAATGGATGCACCTGTGCCATTACAAACGATTTATGAGCCATGTTATTCAACGTCTCTGACTATCGGTTACTATCGTCTCGCTGACTCCAACCAGGTAGTCTATACCTAACAACATAGTCAATATAAACTACTAATAATAGTAGTATTACAATTATTATTAAAGTTGAGACTTATGAGACTATGAATCATTATTAGAAAGAGGCGATGCTTTCCTTTTCATTGCAACAGAAGATTGATTTTTACCACAACTAAGAACCGTCCTAGACATGGATTCTTCAATAGTGTACTGAGCCAACTCTTCAAAACTATTAACATTTTATGAGTACAAGTTTTGATATTTTCATAAGTACAACGAAACCAATATTCCTAGTTACACATTTTCATTTTTTTAAAACAATTTATCATTGGAATACTTTAAAACAAACAGTTTTTTTTCTTTGAAGCATTGAATATTGATCACGCTAGAAAAAAATCAGAATACAACTAAAAGGTTTTCTTTCACTCAGCAGGAATATCACGATAAATTATTAAACAAAAGTATTTTCAAGTTAACAAATTTTTATTATGCGGGTTATTTAAAGATTTTATTCATCAAACAACGCGTGATCACACTTTATCTAACGTGTAAGTAAGTAGGACTTGATTTAAAGTTATGTGATTTGGTTGTGTTATCCGCGGATTAGTGAAAGTAATAACGTTAGGTTAATCTTCCGCCTATCAAATTGTAACGAAGTCACATTATTTAGTAAAAAAATTTGGACGTAGATCAAGAAAACCTATGAAAGTTTATTACATGCTGACTCACACTAGTCAAGCATAGACTGGTAGCCAAGACACTTTAACTATCTTCATAATCCGCCCTATTTAACAGTTGCTTCCGATTGCTATCCATTCTTTTAAGCTCTGCCTCTGATTCTCATTCCTATGAACAGCATGCCTTACGATACAGTTGAGTGCTTTCCCGAATGTGTGTCCTAGAAATTTTCAGGGCTTTTTTCATATTTCCTCCTCGGCTGAAAGTAGGGTTATTTTTTCCCACACAGTGGATTGTTGCTGATACTGTCTAGCTGGCAGATCCTAAGTGTCCCGCCTAGACTACTGTTAACAAACATCTACATCTTGTGGATGATGGCCTTCATAGTTCTTCAAGTTTTCGATTCATACAGTGGAACTGTCATGACATTTGTATTGGAAATTCTCACTTTGATAATGGTTTACAGTTGATTTAGCAAACAGATGTACTTTCCCTTGTTTTGCTAGTCCGTGTTCTCATTTCTGCATCGGATTTACCTTGTTTATTGTCGATGCTCCCCAGAAATGAAGAGCTTTTATGTCAAAAGTGATTCAGTTAGTGCATGTTGTATCGTAGGATCAGGTATCATGAAATATACTGCTGCGGAGGTTGCCGCTACACTGACTGTCTTCACCTGCATTTGCTGCTGTAGATTATCTAGATTATTAAAGATTTCCATTGTGTTGCTCTGATTATTTAGATTTTCAGTGAAGTCTAGATAGCTGAGCTGCATCCCAGCTGTTCAAAGTATTTCATGCTGTTCCTGAGATGTTGAGGCTATCATAATTCCGTCAACCACCGAAAGAAACAGAAAGGTTGAGGGTAGAGAGCATCTGTGTGCGACTTTAATTTCGAGTGAGTTCAGTAAGACAGGTCTATCCAAGAGCTGTTTAAAATTCTCCACGCACACGTCCTGCTACCTTTAGATCTCAGTGACTCGTTTACCTTCATAGTTCTTGACCGGTCTTTCTGGTTTACTAAATCTACAGGATATATCCCTTTCTTTACCATAATAATGTCTCAAGTTTCCTTCTCTTGAAGCTTCCTCTGATGTTGTGATAGATCTTCCACATATTTTCCCTTATCATCACAGATGCTTCTCTTGACTTGCTTGTCTGAATTTGTGTATTCAACTTGTGCCTTGACTTTCTCTGCTCTTGTTTGTCTGGTGTTGATTTCTGCCTTCTTGTCCCTGCTTCCTTGAATTTTTTTAAAAGTACCGACAGAGATCCATTCTTTGTGGTGGTGCTTCTTGTGGCCCAGAACCTCTTGACATGTTGAATTGAGTGACTCCTTGATCCCTTTCCAGTTGTTCTCCATGGTTGTTACCCCTCCTTTGAGTAGACTGCGCAAGGCATGGAACCTATTGCTGAGATTTTCAGTAAGACCGTCTAAAATTTTAGTGATATTTTTCGCCCAGCCATCCAGGGATTTTTGAGTTTCAGTTTCATTTTGGCGACTAGCAAGTGATGATCTAAGGCTATATCACCTTCTCTCTTGCTTCTCACATCCTCCATCGTCCTTTTGAATTTTTTGTTGATGCTGATATGGGCCATTTGGTTCTGTGTGATGTGATCCGCTGAAATCTATATGGCTTTGTCTATTCGTTTCTGTAGTAATATGGTGCTGCCTGTGACCAGTATTTTGAAAGCACATTGGTTTTAAAATTTCTCACCATTTTCGTTACTTTCTCTTAGTCTTTGTCGTCCTATGTTGTCTTCATATCCAATGTTGTCCTTGCCAACCTTTGCATTTAGGTGTCCCAGTAAAAGCATTTGGTGAGCATCTGTCGACGATTGACAGCAACATTTTGTCTTTAACGTCATCATTGTGGTCACTGGTAGGTGCATAGCAATGGATTACGTTCGTTGTAATGCTCTTTTTCTCTGTGTTGAAGGTTGCTTTGATGATCCTGAATCAATGAGATTCTAATCCTGTCAGTGCCTTTTGTGCTTGTTTGGGCAGCATCAGTACAACACCTTATGTGTCTGGTGTTTTCTTCTCCATAGCCAGTGTATAACAGCACCTCTTCTGATGCTAGTCTTTGTTGTCCAACCTGCGTCCAATGTGTTTCACTGGTTCTTTTCACCTCCGTAACAAATTTGATAACTCTCCCGGTCTCCCACATTGTGCGGACATTCCACGTACCTAAGTCAATCGTTGATCTGGTTGTCAGAAATGAACATCAGCCTGTTGACTTCCGAAAAAAAGTCATCTTTCTCCAGGAGGCTTTATAACTTTTTGAAATGAAGACAATTTTTCTCTCAGGGTAAATTTTTAACGGCTTGAACTGATTTTTTGGTTAACGTTTTTTTAGAAAGTTAGTTTTCCACTAGATCAAGTTGCTTACCACATGCCTAACCCTTATCCTGTATTGGGATTTGATACCATCAGTAATCCTATTCTGTATAATAAATCAAATGAGTCAGAAAGTGAATACACTGAAATCATGAATCAATCATTGTTAGACAACCATTAGAAACCTGGAAACACTGAAAGACGGTCGTTTCGCCTTGGTATGAGGTTAATCAGCAGTGCGCATCCACGACTTCGGATACTCGCAGGATTCGAACCATTTTCATGCGATTGTCGTATCTATATTACAAATCATTATATAATATCAATGGTTCAACTTCAGTTGAATAATTCATTGTACATTGAACGCGTTACAATCATAGTAGTGTTTAATAATGAATACTTCACTACTACAAATCAATCTGCTAACATTTGATATCATAATAATAGAACAGTAAAACAAAAAAAACTTTCAATCGATCGAGAAGAATAGAAGAATTGACTTTTTTTCACAAACGATATCCAAACTAATATACGACTGTGTATATAACTTAGTTGGCATTTGTCTACTGATTGTATACACTAACTTCAACTCTGATATCTTCAGTTTTGTTCTGCGTACTAAATACAAAATGATTTATCTAGTAAAAAGAAAAGCAAATCACAACTTTGAATGTGATAGTCAAACTAGGAGAAGGTGTGAATCTGTCTGCAAATGCATTGCTTGTGTACATACATACACATATATGTGTATGTTTTGTGATAGATGACAACCAGCAGATTATTATTATCATTAGTCTTATGCAATTGTACAAATTTCAATCTTCTAATCAAGAATTTGATAAGTATGTTTGCCAGTTTTTGTCTTTCGCACTATTTTTTTTCTTAGTTTAAATAAACAAACAAAATCTAAGTATCAATTATCAAAAGTGTGCATTTATCATCAGGATAGATGTGATAGATTCTATTAATTATGTTGTAATTTTTGATAAATTTGTTTAAATTTTTTGAAAACTGTAAATATGGTTTTAGGTATATATTTTTTAAATAGACATGAAATAAGACTGTCAATTTATTCTTTAAAACAAAAAATAATAATCCTACTTGATTGTACTTTTAACAGTTTATTGAATGAAAACTTATCTTTTAACAGGTATTAATATACATATATATATATATATATATATATAAATTTATCTATTGAGTGCTAAACTATTGTATACGTTATCAACGAGACGTGGATAGTGTCTGATATGCTCGTCAACTGATATGCTTGAATGCTATTACGAGTTCACTATAGTTGATTAACGAGAGAAACGATCAATGATCCAGTGACACGATAGGCCACTCTAATCCGAGCATTCCAAGGCTCCACTAAGTAGAGGAAGAAGTCTTGACAAGACGTTGGAA